TTGGTAAATAAATCAATCCTACATTTTGTCTCTACATGTCAGTCTTGCAATAGCCTGGGGCCTGTCCAGGTTATACCCTCCCTCTCACCCAGTGACATCTGGGATAGGCTCCAGCACTGCCGTGACCCTTAAGTGCAAAAGCGTTCAGGATGATGGATAGATGGATGATTGTTGTTATTACTGAATCTATTCCTATAGTAATTGTAATATTACTTTATTCTGTAATATTTTACATGTATGACTAATGAAAAAAATTATAATTCATATCAATGTAAGCTTGGCAATTATGAGAAGAAAATGTTGAAGGAATTAAAATTGATTTAAATGTTTTAATTCTCCATCCATCCAACCATTTTCTGAAACTGCTTATTCTATGCAGGGTCGCGGAGATGTTTTAACTATTGTTATAATAAAATATTTTTATTAGCTTTATTTGATGTACTTGTTATGATTTGTAAAATTTTACATGAAGTGGTTTGACACATACTGTTGGTGATCAAGGGGTCCACTGTTGGACTAGTAGAGGTGGTGGTCATTTGCCCAGGGACTGTGGTAGTGGGTGCTCCAGAGGAAGTGGTAGATGTTTCAGAGGAGGTGGTGGTGGCAGAGGAGGTGGTGGACGGCCCAGAGGAGGTAGTGGACGGCCCAGAGGAGGTAGTGGATGGTGCAGCAGAGGTAGTGGACGGCCCAGAGGAGGTAGTGGTGTTAGGTGGCCCAGATAAGGTGGTAGGAGAGTCCAAGGAACACTTTCGTGGAACTCGTGGGTGCTCCTCCTTGTACTCAATCAAATGATCAGTGTTGATTTTGGATATTGTGACTCCCTGGCTGTCCAAAAGATCAGCAATTTTATCAACAATGGCTGTGATGGTGTAGGGCCCAAGGTAGTTAGGATCCAACTTGCCCCCTCTCCTCTGCTGGTTTCTCACATTTAATCGCCACACTTTCATGCCAACATGAAAAGCAGGGCTGCTGGTTTCTTTTATCCTCTTCTTTTGTTTTGATTGTTTACTGCTCGTATTTGTGAAGTTGTCCTCCACTTTTCAGCTTTCCAATCAAATCCATTCCAATTAATTCAAATGGCTGGGTTACCTTAAAACAAGTAAAAACAGTACTGATTGTCAAATAAATAACTGTCCTTAGATTTAAATTGGTAAAGATAAAAAAACAAATCATAAACATTTTCACCTTGATGGGAATGTAGGCCACTTCCTGTTTTACTGTGATGTTGCTGGCCTGGCACTGCACACACTGACTCAACCTGACAGACAAAAAGACAGTTAAAGGTGTTATCCAAATTGCCAATTATTTCTATTACACCAAATCCATGTATGACGGGTGTAAGTGCATACAGACCCATAAACTAATGTCCTCTGACATCCCAGGCCAATAAAATCTTTGAGAAATTGCTTCCCTTGTTTTTTTTTGTCCGCAGTGTGCACCTCCACTACTGGCATGGAAGTCTACAAAGACTTCATTTGCCTCTTCAGGACCACATAAAACCTTCGCCCTGAGGGACTTAGTTGTCCCTTTGTAGCGGACATAAAACAACTGGCCATCTGTAAGAAGCCAAAAATGCCAGGGATGAAATATGAGCCACTCAAATATAACAATAAAAGTTAACAGACTTGACTGCGTTGCATTTTAACATAGTAAAATAAATAAGTGTGTTTATATTTAAGTTACATATATTGGACATTTTGAGTTTTAAACAATACCTACATAAAGTTGTTATTGAGACAACAGCAAT